AAGGATTAGCACAGCGGAAGTTCATTGTGTTTTTGGATGGTCAAAAATTACGTATACATATAGTCAATTACATATTCGTACGTATGTGTAATTTAGAGATTTCTGGTCACTGATAACGAGCCGGGTACTTATAGAAATAGTTCCGTATTTAAAAAACTAATTGGAAGTTGCTGGAAGACTTTCCTCAAATTTTGCGCCAGTTTATACGATGAAAGATGCACGAAAACTTTCTGATGTTTTTTGACGTATAAGACGATTTTGCAAACTTGTATGTAGCGCAAATATTTACTAAATTAGATGAAATTACTTGTCTTGGGTTTACTGATTTATTCGACATTTTATACGATGAAAGATGTCTGATTAAATTTAGACATTTTTCATGGTATAAAATGTCACCAAGACTAAATATTGGTTAATTCTGAGCTTGATTTAATAACTTCTTAGTAATTTACCATTTTATACGATGAAAGGTGTCTGATTAGATTCATACACGTTTCATCGTATAAAATGTCATCAGGACTAAATATTGGTTAATTCTGAGCTTGATTGAACAACCTTTTTGTAATTTACCATTTCATACGATGAAAGATGTCTGATTAAATTTAGACACTTTTCATCGTATACAATGTCCCCGTAACATTGTAAAATTCGGCCTTAGACATCTATAAAACACTTCCAAATCCAATTACCGTTCCGAAAAGCGTTCTACAGCGTTTTTTGGTTTCTAAAAATGCCTGCTAAATTTCCGTTTACACCTCCAACGATAATCTTGTTCCATGTCTTGACGCATATACGCTATCCGCGACGCTCCAAAATTGTTTTGTTCGAAGTCGGTTTACGGTCGCCGCTTTTCGAGTAGTCCTCAAATTGTATCCGATTATATTAGACGCTGCGGGGGAAGCGCAGTCATTTTGGGACAATAAAAGAACGTTTTATCGCGTTTTAAGACTTGAAAAAGGTCAGGGCAAAAGTGCAAGAGGCATTTTTAACAATGGAAAATTATTAAAATGCACTTATAATTCAATAGGAAATTTGAGAAAAAAAATTTTTTTTTAAAATGTTGCCGATTTTTATCGCGCTAAAATGGCAAAAAGCAATTATAGAGTTTCATTGTTGCTGTCGACACAGCTCTCAGTACGATGAGTTGAGAAATGTAAAGCATTTTTCTGTTTGACAAAAACTTTTTTGCACAGTGCAGTTTCATAGTTCAAAAAAGCCTACGTATCCGCACAGTGCAGTTTTTTAGTTGAAAAAAGCCTACATTTCCGCACAGTGCAATTTTATAGTTGAAAAAAGCCTACCTTTTTGCACTGTGCAAAATTAGTTATACTTTTTTTAAATTAAATATGCGAGATTTTTAGCACAAAACTCGTAAAAACAGTAAATATTTTTTTTTTCAGAAAAGAAAACATAAATTTCTCCCACTGAATATCTTTAAAATTTTTAGGAATTGTTGATGTAGCTAAAATTTTTAGGAATGATTGATGCACTAGTCCTTCTGTAAAGTCTTACTATACAATGACTATATAAATATTTGATCCAGTGGCAAAAAACGTACCATTTTGCATCCGGGAAGTATCAAAAATGTGGCAAAACACCTCCCTTTCCAACTAAAAAACCTCCGTTTTGAAAGCCTCTCCCTCACAAAAAGAGCGGGCTTTTGAAATCGGAGTTTTTTTCACTTGAAGAAGGAGGTATTTTACCGCACTTTTTGGTGCTTCATGGATGCAAAATGGTACGTTTTTTGTCACCGGATCAGATCCCTTACTGTAGCTCAGATGTTCTTTCAGTTTTGCATGCGATTTGGGCTGGACAATCAGCTACAGTGGCGGATCTGATCAGGTGGCAAAAAACGTGTCATTTTGCATTCGGGAAGTATTAAAAATGTGACAAAATACCTCCCTCTCCAAGTGAGAAAACTCCGATTTCAAAGGCGCGCCCGTTCTTTTTGTGAGGGAGAACTTTCAAAACGGGTTTTTCAGTTGGAGAGGGACGCGTTTTGCCACATTTTTGATGCTTCATGGATGCAAAATGATACGTTTTTTGCCACTGGATATGATCCGCCACTATAGCTCTTTGTCAATCAAAGAGCGCGTGCAAAACTGAAAGACCATCTGAGCTACAGTAAGGGACCTGATCCAGTGGCAAAAAACGTAGCATTTTGCATCCATGAAGCATCAAAAGGTGTGGTAAAATACCTCCTTTTTCAAGCGAAAAAACTCCGATTTCAAAAGCCCGCTCTTTTTTTCAGGGAGAGGCTTTCAAAACGGAGTTTTTTAGTTGGAAAGGGGGGCATTTTGCCACATTTTTGATACTTCCCGTATGCAAAATGGCACAAAGCGCGTGCAAAACTGAAAGAACATCTGAGCGTCGCAGATGTTCTTTCAATGACTTCCATTGAAAGTGCAAGGGGTGTCTCTGACAAATTTTTTGTAGTGTAATGCCCTCTTCATCGCGGGTATTATATATGAAATGTTTTCAGTCATACTTCGGCAATTGTATGAATGCTTGCGTAATTAGGTCAAAAATAAATGGTTTTTGAGACATCTGCCATCTTAAATGTAATATCATCATTTTAGAGCGTAGAATTACGTGAAATGCTCATTAATTTTTAATTCTTCAACTTTTTTTAAAATTTTTTGAATCTTTTCCGGGGTTAATCATGCGCCTTTTTCAAAAGTTTTGTAGGGATTAAAAACGTCTGAAGATGTGTTTTCAAAAGTGCGCAGACGTTGTTCGCCTTTGATCGCCGGCGCACGTGCATTTTCTCCGTTTTCCCTTCTATTAGAACTTACATAAAGTGCATGGACATTTTTTCGCTTTTGCACAGTGCATCTTGAACTTTTTCCCACTGTTGTCGCCAACGCACAGTGCATTTTTGCCTTTGCGCACCGTGCAAACCTCAAAAAAGCCGTTTGCACTGTGCAAACACCGCGGCGACAAAGATGAAAAAAACGCACTCTGCAAACCCAGAAAAAGATGAATGCACGCTGCAAAAAGCAAGAAACCGCACAGTGCAAACTGAAATTTTGTTTTCGCACAGTGCATGTCGCAAAAATCGCTCCAGAACGGACTCATATCGCACTGTGCAGTTTGCTGTTTTTCGCACCGTGCGGATTTGGTCATATTTCTTCAACTTGGCCATATTTTTTCTAATTTAGCCATATTTTCTTCAAATTGGCCATATTTTTCTAATTTAGCCATATTTTCTTCAAATTGGCCAGGTTTCGTAAGATTTGGCCATTTTTTCTTCAGCAAGTTGAAAAAAGCCGTTCGCACTGTGCGAAATGCCGCTACACACATTTATTCTCCTGTCGCAAAGATCGTTGAATATCTTATTCGCCGCTGCAAACCGCAAGCTAAGGTTCGTATGGTTCACAATTCGAGTGCCCAAATTGTAAAAATAAAGGACGTTTTAGGCCGGAAAGGAGAAAAAATTGTTTTTCCTTAAAAAAATTTACAAAGGCGTTTTACGAAAAACAACTTCAAGCCCATTTTTATGTCCTATGATTATTTTTATGCATTGAGGACGAAAAGGTCAGCTAAACAAAAGAAGTAAGTGCAGAACACGATCCAAAATTTATAAAATGTGGCCAAGAAGAGAAAATATGGCCATAATTTTTTCAATTAAAGAAGAAATTTTCAATTTGACCGCATTTTTCAACCTGGGCCGTGTTTTTTTCAACCTTGGCCATATTTTTCTAATCTGCCCCTATTTTCTTCAAATTGGCCAGGTTTCATAAGATTTGGCCATATTTTCTTCAACTTGGCCATATTTTTCTAATCTGGCCATATTTTCTTCCAAATTGGCCGGGTTTCGCAAGATTTGGCCATATTTTCTTCAACTTGGCCATATTTTTCTAATTTGGCCATATTTTCTTCAAATTGGCCAGGTTTCATAAGATTTGGCCATTTTATCTTCAACTTGGCCATATTTTCCTAATTTGGCCATATTTTCTTCAAGTTGGCCAGGTTTCATAAGATTTGGCCATATTTTCTTCAAATTGGCCATATTTTTCTAATCTCGCCCTATTTTCTTCAAAATGGCCAGGTTTCATAAGATTTGGCCATACTTTCTTCTACTTGGCCACAATTTTCTAATTTGGCCCTATTTTCTTCAAATTGGCCAGGTTTCATAAGATCTGGCCATATTTTCTTCAAATTGGCCAGGTTTCATAAGATTTGGCCATATTTTTTCAACTTGGCCATATAAAGGTGGTCATATAAGATCTCGGAATTTTTTTTTCCCAAATCGCGATTTTCGGTGCACAAAAAAGTCGACGCCCAAATCGAAAAATTGGCGTCGACTTATTTTTTTCTCGGCACCGAATTCTGAAATTCGGTAAATTTTTTTTCGAAATCAGTGCACAAAGTCTTAAGTCTGCACCGAAGACTTAAGTGCTTAAGTCAGCACCGCATTTTGGAATTCGGTGCTGAAAAAATTAAGTTGACGCCAATTTTTCGATTTGGGCGTCGATTTTTTTGTGCACCGAAAATCGCGATTTGGAAAAAAAAATCCGAGATCTTATATGACCAGCTTTATATCTTTCTCATTTGGCCCTATTTTCTTCAAATTGGCCAGGTTTCATAAAATTTGGCCCTATTTTCTTCAACTTGGCCATATTTTTCAAAACGGCAAAGTGCACAGTGCGCCGCGCCTGAAAGTTTACTTTGCACCGTGCGAATGATCGTTTCGTCTGTCGCTCGCACCCTGACTTTTCCCGCACAGTGCAGAGGCCAAAAATGGATCCTGCGACTCTCCAAACGGAGTACTGGTCGTTCCAGAAAGTGCGTGGACTTTTTTTCTTTTATTTTTTTCTTTGTTTACTGTCACAAAAATACCTTACACTGTTAGTCGTATTTGCCAAACCTAGGGTCGATATTTTAGCGATTTACAATTTATTTTCTCTTCGATTGTTTTTCACCGGTTACCCCATTTTTTCAATGTTTTTTATTCAGTTATTCCCGAAAGTATATTGTCGAAAACAGTGTGTGAAAAAATGCCTGTGGACTTATTAACCGTCCCGCAGCCCGTGGATCCCACGCAGCAGAAGTGGTTTGATGGATATATGTAGGTTTCATAGTGGCATGTGTCATGTCATCACAATTTTTGGGTGACTAAAAAAAATTTTTTTTTTGAAATTTCAAAAAAAAATTAAAAAAGTTTCAATTTTTTTTCAAATTTTAATCCGTTAAAAAACGGATTAAAATTTGTCCCAAATCTACATAAAGTACGTGAGAATTAGGCTATTACATAACCGGATAGTTATGAGCCATATTATCCCTTGAAAATCGCATTAATCTGCAGGTTGTACCAGATTATGAGCGATTACTGCGTCAAGAACAAAGAATTGTCAGTCTAGTCCTGTACATTGGGTGGTGGGAAACAAATGTATCTATTTTATACAAAAAATATTCTTCTCAAAAGTTGAGAAATTTTCATTTTTATTTGTTGAATTTTTCGTGACTAATTGAAAAAAGATTTGCACAGTGCAAAAATGTAGGCTTTTTTTGAGCTTAGAAATTGCACAGTGCAAAGTTGTAAGCTTTTTTCAATTAGAAAATTGCACTGTGCGAAAACGTAGGCTTTTTTGAACTATCAAATTGCACCGTGCAAGATTCTATGCTTTTTTGAACCGGAAACTTGCACAGTGCAAAAGAATAGGCTTTTTTCAATTATCAAATTGCACAGTGCAAAAGGATAGGCTTTTTTCAATTATCAAATTGCACAGTGCAAAAGTATAGGCTTTTTTCAACTGGGATATCGCACTGTGCGAAAACATAGGCTTTTTTGAACTAGAAAATTGCACTGTGCGAAAACATAGGCTTTTTTCAATTATCAAATTCCACTGTGCAAAAATGTAGGCTTGTTTCGACTAGGAAATCGCACTGTGCGAAAACATAGGCTTTTTTCAATTATCAAATTGCACTGTGCGAAAACGTAGGCTTTTTTGAACTAGAAAATTGCACTGTGCAAAACTATTGGCTTTTTTCAACTATCAAATTGCACTGTGCAAAAATTTGCTTACAAATTTTCATTTTCAGCTTTGGTATTCAAACTCCAAAAAACTTTATTTTCCCATTCTGAGGCCCTCTATTTACTCATTCCACCCTGATTTGTGTCGTACTTCCGGGGAGAGTTCAGTCATTACTCGGGTTCCCAAAGCATAAATTAAAAATTTACAAGGTCTCAAGGAATTTTCCGACGCTTTGAGCCCTCAGGCAATTAGAAAGTGTTCGCTATTTTCTGGCTGTAAATTTCGGTTGAAAACTGGGATTTTTTGGGAGAAAAATATTTCTAAAAATTTCGAAATGAAACATCGCTCCATTGTGATGTGGGTTCGTGTGTCATCATCGCTGTCGGAGTTGAACAAAAAATTTTAAGTTGATTTTAATTTTTTTTGATATAAAGGATATTTTTTTTATTTTTGAAAAAAAAGAAAAAAAAATTTTTGAAAAATTTCAAAAAATTTTTTTTTCTTCCAGTAGGCTCTATAGGACGCCAATAGGACTGTAAAAACATAAAAAAATCAGTATTAATTTTCCACCAATTTTAGGAAGGCCCTCCGCCAGAAAACGGACATTTCCTTGGGCGTCGAGACCAATCATGAGCTCGCTCAGCGCATGCGCCGGACCAGCAGTATGCCCTCCGTAGTGGATGCTATGCACAGTAAGCCCAAAATATTCCAGAAAAATCAAAACTTTTTTTTTTTTTTTTTTTTTTTTTTTATTTTTCAAAAATATCAAAAAAATTTCAGAAACCTCGATGGACAGAGTTCGTCACTACAATTACGACCTAAAATTGTCGAAACTTCAAAAAAGAGCGCTCCGATTCACATGGCATCGATTGCAAACGAGGAATGGCGGGAAAAGAGTGGATAATGTGTTTGAAGATGTAAGTTTTGACAAAGAGAAAACATAGGTAAAGTTGTCTATTACGTGCTCAGTTTTTGAAAACCCAAAAAATCCGGCAAATAGATTCAATTTCCATTAAAACTCGCTAATTTTTTTCTGCACAGTGCAATCAATTTTCTAGGCTGTTTTTGGCTTTGCACGGTGCAATCGATTTTTTAGCCTATTTTTGGCTTCGCACTGTGCAGAAAACTTTTTAGCCGTTTCTTGAGCTTGCACGGTGCAATGAGGTTTCAAACCTATTTTTGTCTTTGCACAGTGCAATCGATTTTCTAGGTTGTTTTTGGCTCTGCACAGTGCCATCCATTTTTTAGCCTATTTTTGGCTTCGCACAGTGCAATCGATTTTCAAACGAATTTTTGTCTTTGCACTGTGCGAGCTAATATTTAGTTTATTTTTGCCTCCGCACGGTTTAACCGATTTTCAAGCCTATTTTGTGGCTTCGCACTGTGCAACAAACTTTTTAGCCGTTTTTTGAGTTCGCACTGTGCAAGCCATTTTTTAGCTTACTTTTGCCTTCGCACTGTGCAACCAATTTTCAAGCCTATTTTTGGCTCCGCACTGTGCAATCCATTTTTTAGCCTATTTTTCCCCTCGCACTGTGCAATCAAACTCTCAAGCCGACTTTATTTAATTTCCACAAAAAACTTCCATTTCAGGTCTATGACCGTCTAATGCGTCTGGTGCCGGTGATGAAAGAGATGTTCACAACTCGGGCTTTTCTCTCGGCCATGTCCAAGCATGAAGTGGCCACACCTCGAGATCATGCTCGCTTCACTGTAAAAATGATTGACTCTGTAATTAAGAATCTGGATACGGATGAGAAGAAGCGCACCGACACGTTGAGCGAGTTCGATCCGGTGCTGATTGGGCGGGCTCACGCCGTCCTACGGCCCTACGGCTTTGTGGCGAGCATTTGGGAGAAGCTGGGAGAGACGATCATTGACGTGGTGCTAGTGCAGGACGCGGTGCGGGATTTACCTGGAGCAGGCCAGGCGTGGGTCGTGTTGACGGCGTGTTTGGTGGATCAGGTAAGGATGATAAAAGTACAACGGATTCAAACGAATTTTATCGTAAATTTAGATTAATTTTTTTCTAAGATATACACATGCCAGATTTCCGGGCCGCGCTGTGCAGAAACAACTCAGATTCGTAGGCTGAAAGTTGGAAAAAATTTAACATTTTTTGCGAATTTTGACATGAGAATTTTCACACACGCTTCTACCGTAGAGAGTAATGCCTTCACAAAAAAACTCAGTTTTTCCCCGCCAGACTGGCAAAGATACAGCCAAAAAGTGTTTTTCCTGTCATCACCGTTGAATATACCGAAGTTTGTCTCCGAAAAGAAGTGACTACTAGTACGGCTAGCCGAGGCAAGAGATTCGGTGAGCGCATGAACCCATTTTTCTGCGACGACCCCTTTTATTTTCCCGACAGGCTGATAAAAGAACTCCTATTCATTTATACCACCTATACACGGTTACTCAAAAAAATGCGCCGTCAAAACAAAATTTTACTGAAACATGATACATATGTATGTACATGACCAAAATGATGCGTCTATCCTTTTTTTGAGTCAGTTCAACTTTCGGGTCCAACTCTTAAAAGCTTTTATAGTCATCATATAAAGGCAGTTTTCGAACCCTAAACGTCCTTGGTCCTTTTTTAAAACTGCAGTGCCAATTTTTTTTGACACAAAGAAATTGGCGTTTAATTGTCGCAGCTTTCCGAAAACACTCTGGGAAGGAATATTTATCAGTCTGTTGGGAAAATAATGAGCTCTGTCTCAGCGCCAATCGTATCGCTGAAGTGAAAAAATTCGGTTTTTCCGCGAAACAATTTATTTCCACGCATCAGAATGCTCATTATTTTCCCGACAAAACTGAAATTACGCTAGCATCGCAATTGATGTCTGGTCTAATCGCAAAATATTGTACCAAGATGCTTTTTCAGAAATATATCCAGGGATGAATTGAATATTCATCTCCATGTTCACGCAAAGGGGGCCCCTCATGTATACATAGTTTATGATTTACCCTAGGAATACATATGGAAGAGATATTCCATGGGGGGGGGGGGGCGTAGACATGATATCCGGTAATACAATACGACCCACTTTTCAACTGAAAAATAGTATGACCTAGTCCAATACTAATCCTTTCGGAAAGTCACCGGACAGAAATCGATGACACGCACTCTGCGAAAACGAAACTTTGCTTTGCACTGTACAATTTTGGCTTTTTGCACCGTGCAATAGGCTTTTTGGGGATGTCGCTCGCACTCTGACTTTTTTCGCGCAGTGCAAAATCCGTCCGGCGACTTTCCGGCAGGACTATTACGATTTTCATAAACTGCACGGACATTTGTCACAAACATCCCTGATTTTTTGCACTATGTAAAGCGAAGCACTATTAGCATCACTTTTTTTGGTTCAAGTCGCAAAGCGCCGTCCATTTATCCGCAGAGCGTTGGCGACAAAAGTTCAAGACGCACTGTGCGAAAGCAAAGTCTATGCACTTTATGGAAATTCGAATTGCGCTAGTCGTGCCATAAGTTCGTAGAATTGCACAGTGCGTTTTTGCCCGTGCCGCTTCGACTTTCCGTTTTTTCACTCGCGGCATGCAATTTTCTGTGAGCGCACCTCGCGACGTCGCGCAAAGCGCCATAGATTTTGCCTTTGACATTGCAAGCATAAGATCTTTAAACTTGAATCTGCTCTCGATATCCTCAAACCCCTCTTCTTTCAGCTGCGTGCCGGCTTCGAGCAGAACCGCGAGCCCAAGAGCCGTGTGCCCGGCCGTTGTCCCATGCACGAAATGAACAAACACTCCCCGCATCCCACGCACTCGCCCAACCTCCCGCAACGCTCCAATTCGCCGATCCTCGACTTGGATCAGGCCACCGAGCAACTGCGACAGAATTCGATTAATCGCGAGCGATCCTCGCCGCCGCGGGAGAGCGGTTTTTTGCATCAACAGAGCTTGCCCTACCCGTACATGGATGAGGAAGTGAGCGATGAGAATACGGACAGCGGGAACTTGGGTCTGAACCTGAACGAACAGGCGATGCTGCGACAGCAACAGGAGGAGGATATCAGAGTGGCGGAAGCGTTGATTAGCGCTAGATACATGGACAAATCTTCGGAGGTAAGCGGGGAAAATTAAGAAGTTTTTTGGCGTGGATTGCGGCTTTCAAATCTTATAATTTTTATTTGCACGGTGCAAGCGGTTTTTGAGCTTATTTTTTGGCTTGCACTGTGCAGTCGATTTTTTAGCCTATTTTCTGGCTTGCACTGTGCAAGCAGTTCTCGGCCAATTTTTCGATTCGCACTGTGCATTCAATTTTTAGCCTGTTTTTCAACTTGCACTGTGCAGTCGATTTTTTAGCCTAATTTTCGACTTGCACTGTGCAGTCAATTTTCTAGCCTATTTTACGACTTGCACTGTGTGGCCAATTTTTTTAACTTACTTTTCAGCTTGCACTGTGCAGTCGATTTTTTAGCCTAATTTTAAACTTGCACTGTGCAGTCGACCTCCAAGCCCACTTTTTCGACGTGCATTTCGCACACAATTTTTTTTTGACAAGTTGATAAAACCTATAACGTCGCGAAGGGTTTGGAGAAGGGGGAGGTGGTCACCAATCCAATGTAAGAAGAGTATAGGGTTTATTGAGACGAAATGAAGCACACACACACGACCGGAATCCGGAGACAGAATTAAAAGATATTGGGATTGTCTGTTGTATTTATACTTCCTAGTTTATTCAAATTTCCTGGGAACTTGGGTGAGAACCCAACAGCCAAAAAAAGGTTTTTTTTTATTTTTTGCTGTGATCTAACAGTGTGCCACTAACCACCGAGCCGCTTCCAAGGCCATTTCCATTAATCCAACTACAGCTTTCAGTGCCGTCCTAGGCATCACCACTCCGTGGCCGCCCTCCACCACTCCAGCACGCCCTCCTCGCAGCCCATGACGCCGCATTCGAGCAGTCCCATTCACGCGCCAATCGCAACACTCGACAGGTCCGGCTCGTCCAGTCGCTGTACGAGTCCGGGCGTCCGGCTTCCGCACCGCCAGCGCTCGCCGTCGCATCACCAACTCGAGGAGGCGGCCATGCTGAATCAGCGCGCCATTTCCAGCGGCGCCATCCCCACCATCGACGACAGTCCATCCAAGGCGAGGAGGTGCAGCCAGCCGCTGGAGAGTCGGTACCGTCACAGCAGCAAGTTTTATTGACAATCTGTGCTACACATCATATGAATCTTTACCAATTTTTACCGCATTTTATTTGCAAGTATAAAGTTTTTAAGCGATTTGTCACCAATTTTGAGGTATTTTACATGTATTACTGCAATTACATTCAGATAAAACTTACGGATCTTCCTGCATTGACTGTAATTTTGAATTTCAAAACCTCCAACAGTCCTTTTCATCACTCAAACTTTGACGGTGCACAAAAAGCGAACATAATATTTGAACAGCCCTCGGATCGGCTGCTATCACAAAAAACGACACTCAGATATCCCGTCCCTTCCCTCTAAACTAATGTCACAAATGTCCCAGCTCCTATTGATTACTTTTCTTTCCGCTTTTACGCTCGCAACTTCCCTAAAATGCTTTCAATGCGGGTTTGGGTTGCGTGCGGACATTCAAAAGTTCGGCTATTTGTTCGGAGTCCAGAATGTTTCGCCGTCGCTGCGAATTGCCGCAAATGGTGAGGAGGAGTGGTGCGGCAGTAAGGACACGGTACGACACAATGAGAGCTTGGTGGACTGTCCGGCTGGCTGTGCGTTGTTCACGGTGTCCGATGAGATGACCTATCTGGCTGGATGCGCCAATCCTGTTGGCGGGGAAATGACCTTTGTAAGTTGGATATACACAGATACAATGGGAGACTTGTTCTTCCCAGTGGCAAAAAACGTACCATTTTGCATCCGGAAAGTATCAAAAATGTGGCAAAATGCTTCCCTCTTCAAGTGAAAAACTCCGATTTTAAAAGCGTGCCAGCCCTTTTTGTGAGGGCCCTTCAAAACTGAGTTTTTTAGTCGGAGAGGGAGGCATTGTGCCACATTTTTGATGCTTCTCGGATGCAAAATGGTGCATTTTTTGCCACTGGATCAGGTCCCCTACTGTAGTAAATTTCGTTAGTATTTGTCGTAGGGCAATTAGAATGGAAAATCGGCCAAAATTTTGAACACGGCTGCCTCACAGAGGAGGGCCGCATTTGCTGAATCGACCAAATTTTTTTGGCCAAAACTTGGCAAGAGAACGTAATTGCCCACCAAATCTCCAGCCCCGGCGAGCCGTCGCAAAACGACGATGGGCAATTCTAAGGCGCGATAAATCCATATTATTTTCCCAGCAGACTAAAAAACCGCAATTTTAAAAATTCCACATATTAAAAAATGAGCCTTTCAGATTGAAGCCAAGGTCCTGGAACGCCGCCGCAACGAATACACATTCATTATCTGCACCACGAACGGCTGCAACGCCTCTCCAGGCAAGTTTTAGACGGGATACTTCAACAAAATTGCAGAGATCGCCATGGCTTCGAAGAAGAATCCCAAATACAATGCTTTGAAATACGATGGAGGATTCACCGAGACCCCGTATCGAAAGGAAAAGGACCAAGAGCAGAAAACCGACAATGACAGCGGTAACAACACCTCCGCCGCATTCGGGGACTATGTAAATTTGCCTTTGTTCTCCGTCTTGTCCTACACTGTTATTAATAATCTATTGTAAATTTGGTACAATAAAGACTCAGAGCTCTCGCTACGTCTATGTCTCTAAAATATTGATTTTTTTATCAGTCTGTCGGGAAAACAGTGAGCATTCTATCGCATCGAAAATCGCATCCCCACCGAGAAAATGAATTGTGTCGCGACAAGATGAAATTTGGCGCTCGTGTCGGCTCGTCGTTGCATGCATGAGGAGGCTTGGAGAAGGCGTAGTTAGTAGAAATAACAAGAATGGTTCGACCCTAGGATACCTTATCACTTATTTTTGAGATATTTTACATGTGCTCACATCAAGACCATCTGGATAAAATTTACGGATCTTCAAATTTTGGTCTTTTACATGTTACAATCCCTCAGGGTATAGAAAACTAACTTTTTCTAACAGCTGCAGTCAGAAAAATTGGACAGATTGCAAGTCTCCGTAGAGCCTCCGCCGAGCCTTCGACGAGCCTCCGCCGTCCATCCAACGGCTTTGCCATGCCTCGCAGGCATTTCCTATAACGTTTTTTTGGGCATCCCACTGCCCCACGCCCCGCATCAATCGATTATGTTGATTAGAACTGTCGTCGACCCGAAAAGTCGGGACGCGGTGACTATAAGGCTGGACTAGTAACTCAGAAACCTCACGGTGGCATGAGTTTTGTATTCAAATTCAGATTTCTCTTTTTTTTTGACTTCACAAAACTCGACAATCAAAGGCCGGACTGATGTGTCGGCCCAATTAGTGGGGTCATTTGTTTCCCTCACGGGCGAAAGAGCCTCTTTCCACATCCCGAGCCGATAATAAATAAATAACACTTTTGCGAACTGTTTTGTTGCGAGAACGGCGTGATAAGTGGGATCAAGACAAAAAATTTCCTTCCAATGCCCTCGAGGCAGGTGGAAAAGGAGCTTTACAAATGGATAACGGGACCTTTTGATGGGGTTATTTGTGGCCGTATGAGCTTGATGAATGTGCTGGAAACATCAAAACGTCGCTGATGTCGGCTTAGCCTTCAAGATCGGGATCATGAAGATTACTTCTTGCCGGAAATCATTAAAATTGATCAATTTTGGAGCGAAAAAGAGGGGAGATTTTCGGGAATAACGTTGAAAAATTGGGGAGAATGAAGGTGTTTTGATTTTTCAAAAGTGTGTAGACTTCTTTTTGTCGATGAGGCTTTCCGCGCCGTGCCTTTAAATTCTGCACAGTGCAAAATTTCAAAGTTGGATAGGTAAGTCGTATTTTACAAAACATCTTAACTTACTCTGTTTTTAAGTATAATTTTGTAAATATGCAATTAGCATAGTGCAATTTCATAGTTCAAAAACGCCTATGCTTTTGCACAGTGCAATAATTTTGGCTTAAAAAATTTTAATTTTGATGGTCCAGACGTATTTTACAAAGTATATTTTTACTCTGTGTTTAAATATCTTACAATAACCAGAGTGCAATTTCCTAGTTTAAAAAAGCCTACATTTTTGCACAATGCAACATTTTGGTTCAAAAAGTTTTCGTTTGATGGTCCAGACGTATTTTACAAACTATTTTTACTCTGTGTTTAAATATCTTACAATAACCAGAGTGCAATTTCCTAGTTCAAAAAAGCCTTGGTTTTTATGCGTATTTTACAAAACATCCTAACTTACTCTGTTTTTTAAATATCTGACAATTAGCGTTCAATTTCCTAGTCCAAAAAGGCATACACTTTTGCACAGTGCAATTTCCTAGTACAAAAAAGCCAACATTTTTGCACAGTGCAGTTCTCTAGTTGAAAAAACCCTACACTTTGCACAGTGCAATAATTTTGGCTTAAAAAAATTTAACTTACAAGGGAAGTACTTGAAGTGTGACGCTCAGATTTTGATGAAACTTGGCATAAATTTAGAATACTAGTCGGGACAAAAAGTCCTGATAATTTTGCACCGTGCGGATTTGAACGTTTTGGGCCGTCGCTGCGAAAATCGCGAAAAAAGTGTTTTGCACGGTGCATTTGACCCGAAAAGTGCATTTGCACAGTGCATTTTGTTTGTTTTTGCCTTATTGTCGCGCGCGATTCCCATTTTTCGAAGCGACAAATCGTTTTTTCAGAGTGCGACAGAAACCGCGCAAAATCCGCACGGTGCAAAATTATCAGGACTTTTTGTCCCGACTAGTAATTTTTTCTAAGATATATGCGAGAATCCTAGCTCGCGCTTTACAGAAACAACCGAGATTTTTAGATCAAAAGTCGGCGAAAATTTAGGACTTTTTGCCGAATTTCGGCACGAAAAGTTTCATGCCTATTTCTACCGCAAAGGATAATGTTTCTACAAAAAATCAGATTTTTCCGCACGAAACTGCCAAAGTTATGGCCAAAAAGCGCTTTTCTCTCTGACCGCTCTCCACGTTTAGCGTGCTCTCTCGGCGGCATAAATCGTTCGATATCTCGGCGGCGTCCGCAAAGCGCGAGCTAAAACTTTCAGGAATTGATATTTAGTCCATACCCGACGTGTGTGCAAAATTTAAAGAAAATCTGAGCGTCACACTTGAAGTACTTCCCCTGTAAGTTTATGCACAGTGCAATTTCCTAATTCAAAAAAGCCTACACTTTTGCACTGTGCAATTTTCTATTACTGCGTGAAAAGTTTTGTCGAAAAAGATAGCCGTGGTCTCGTGGTGTAGTGGTTATCACGTCTGCTTTACACGCAGAAGGCCGCCGGTTCGAACCCGGCCGGGACCTAACGCTTCACATCTTCCATGCTGAGAAAGCGCAGTAAATTTTGTTGATCTTTGAACAGGAAAACCTTATATAAATTTGTGAAAACACTATCCCGTACGTTCGTTACAAGTAGACACGGAATAAAATGTCAAAATTTCCTCAAATTTCGACCTGAAAATTTTGGTCGTTTCGGCATTTTTACCGCGACACAACCCTTTTCGCTGCGACAGAGCGCTCATTATTTTCCCGACAGACTGAATTGATTTTTATCGCTTAACTTCTCTCAAAGAACAGTCAAAGTGCATCAAAAATTTGTTATCGCATTTCCCACCAAAATCCGTACTTGCAACAGAATGCCAAAAAATCAAGTTTTCGCCATAAAATCCTAAAAAAAGTTTTTTAGCTTGTATATCTTTAGCAAGATAACATTTTACACAAATTTTCGCCCGATTCTATGATCCAAACACCCCCTTTTCCTACTGTATTAGTCTCTTGGCCGATGACTAACCCCCGCCCATAACTCAGTTAACTACGAACATCTGAAATGCCGTAAAACCCAATAAATTTAATGTTTTTATTTCATCAGCAGCGATTTTCGTCCCGCCGCCTGGGGGCCGCTTTTCGGTAGCTGTGATCCGAGAGAGCGGGGCCCAATTGAAATTAATGACCAGCCCCGTTCCGATGACTGAGGTCGCGTTAAAAAAGATGAATTTTTTTGAGTTTTCGTTTTAAAGATCTCGGCTTTTCACGGGTTCAAGTCTGGGTCATCTGGAGGTGTGAATGTGCGGAATGGGGAAATTTGGTTGAGCGAGGTTTGTAGGGAAAATAATGAGTGTTCTGTCGAGGCGAAAATCGCATCGCCAATTTTCGTGACACTATATGAGAGTTTGAAGACACTATATGAGAGTTTGTACTGCAGAGGTTTTACCGTTTATTGTGATCTTTTCTGTCTACTGTATGACAAATTGCATATTCATTTTTACTCCTCTCTATCAGGCAGCGACGTTATACATACTCTTTATTTTCCCGACAGACTGTTATTAGTCGTTTTATAAAGTGCATAGATTTTTTTCGCGGCTCAAAGTGCATTTTTCTGCTACTAGTCCGTTCGTAAAGTCGTTGGAATGATTTCGGCGACATGGACTCCGCGAAACCGAAACTTCACTTTGCACTGTGCAATTTTTGGCTTTTTGCACAGTGCAATAGGCTTTTTTGGGCTGTCGCCCGCACCCTGAGTTTTCTTGCACAGTGCGCGTCGCCGAAATCATTCCAGCGACTTCACGAACGGACTAGTACCCTTTGTGTGCTGTCAACAGTCGGCAAAACGCACTGTGCTTTCTCAGCGTATATATACATGTAGCAAGTGCATGTGGGGCATGTTAGGTCCCGGCCGGGCTCGAAGCGGCGGCCTTCTGCGTGTATAGCAGACGTGATAACCACTACACCACGAAACCGTGGTTTGTTTTTTCAACAAAACTATTCACTGAGTAATAGAAAATTGCACTGTGCAAAAGCATAGGCTTTTTTGAACTAGAGAATTGCACTGTGCAAAAGCATAGGCTTTTTTGAACTAGAGAATGGCACGGTGCAGAAATGTAGGCTTTTTTGAACTAGGAAATTGCACTGTGCTAGGATATTCATTGGCCACACATCAATTCCAAAAAATTTTAGCTCACACCTTACAAGCGCAGCTGTGATTTTCATCGACTTTTGCGGCCGAGAGAGTGCGCGAAACGCGGAGAGCGGTCAGAGAGAAAAAAACACTTTTTGGCCGTATCTTTGCCAGTTTTGGTTGGAAAAAATTGAAATTTTGTGGAAACATTACACTCCTCGGTAGAAATAGCCATGTAACTTTTCATGCTAAAATTCGCACAAAAAATTTTTCAATTTTCGCCAACTTTCGACCTAAAAATCTCTTTCGTTTCTGCAACCCGCAAGCTAGAAATCTCATATATTTCTTATAAAAAATTGCTCTAAATCTGTGCCAAGTTTCATCAAGATCTGAGCGTCGCGTTCGGAGAATTTCCCGTCTCAAATTACCATACCTTTTCCTCTTTGATCCAAAGAGATTTGCGGGAAATTTGAATAAAGTGGCGCGCTTGGCTGGGCAAAGAGGTGAGAAAAGACAATAGTCGCAATATTACGCACGCGATAATTGCGAAATGACCGGGTCATTACAGAGAATTATAGAAAATATCGCCCTTCAATACGCTTCGTATCTTCTTCTTTGGCATATCTTGTTCACTGGAAGATATACAAAAGGGATTTTTTTGTGTATTATTTTAAAGTCCATCTTTGTTTTGAATCGGGTTGAACGAAAGAT